CGAGGGCTCTCAGCGCGCCTGTCTGCGTCAAGATGAGTCCGTCGTTGCCGAATATGAAGTGGTTCGCCGCCGGCCCGGCCAGTAGCACCGTCGGCGACCCAAACAACGACATGGTAGAGACCGGGCCATATTTCTTGATCCGGTCTCGGAACCATTGGTCGTCGGTGTTGCTGCGGCAGGCGCGGAGGAGAGAGAAAGTACTGCCGATAACCGGCATGCCGAGATTACCAGGAGGCAGCTTATAGGCTGAGTAGTAGAGCCTGTAGAAGTTTTTGTGAAAGAGTTGGAGAACTGCAGCTACAAGCAACGCAATTACTGCCCCGAGGAGAATGGAGTAAGCCATAGGAAATTATGGTGAAGCCTTGAGGTTTGGGTGTTGTGTACTCGAAGTTTATATGGAAAGGGAACAGACGTCACTCAAGGCTCTATCTGCTTGAAGGAAGCTGCATAATTAACACGATTTGCACGATGGTAAAAAAGAATTCCTTAGTAACTGTTTGGCACAGACTAATTTTCTTGATCATGTCCTTTTCTTGGTCACAATCTGCTTTAGTTTACTTTATTTTGAAAGGAAGGTCCCGGGGTCCCCACAACGATATTTTTGAAAGAACTAGGTGATAGCCTAAGCGTTGCTACGGGAATTGCTTGTAATATATTTTATTGAGATTTGGTTGTATGAAACATGAATATTTAAGTTAATAACATGAGGATTAAAATTGAAAATACATATGCTTTATTGCATTTGATGCTGTATAGTTGTGAGATACTTGTGAAATCAAATAGAAAGCATTTTTTCATGCATGATTGCATGTTGTGGTGAACTTTGCTCCATGCATGGTTGCATGTTGAGGTGGACCTTTTTGTGAAATAGCTATCGTTCGAACTTGCTATGTCCAGTTGTATGATGAACTAATATGTGTTTATTTGTCAACGTTGTGTTGATCTACATTGCAATGGCTTGTATAAACTTGAGGATTTGGATATGAGGGGGTGATTGTGGGGGCACACATATAGGGGTCGAGCTTCTCCTATCCACGGACACGTCCGCAGATATGTCAGGGATCAAAATAGCCCAATCAAGTTGAAGATGCTCTTACAACCTCAAATTTCAGTTGTTTTTTCATTGATTCGATCTTATGTTTCCTTCATGCATCTCCCAACCAGTATTCATGTCAGCTTTTGCTGATATGACGACAAAACGGATGCTATCTCCCGCAAAACACTAGTGTTAGAGTAATCTTGATTAGTACTCCCTCCGTCCGAAAATACTTGTCGGAGAATTGCATAAAAATGGATGTATCTACAACTAAAATACGTCTAGATACATTCATTCCTCTGACAAGTATTTTCGGACGGAGGGAGTATTCAAGAGGGAGTATACGTGGTGTTTGAGATTGCATGAGCTAGCTCTACGTGTTGTAGTAGCATTGGAGTTGGCTGTATGTGTCCGGTTTAGGTTCAAGTCTTTATCAAGGTGGCCGTGTAATTAGATAGAGAGTTAGTCCTAGCTAGGTGTCATAGTCTGGTTAGGAGTAGTACCAGTTCTGTACGTGTCCTAGGCGGAGTACGAGTAGGTTTACTTGGAGTCGGTTCGGCAGCTTGTCCGTGTCATGTATATATATACATGAGCAGGGTACGATCAATTGTAACACCGTGAGAAAAGAAGAAAATCAATAAAGAGGGAAGAAGAAGGGGACGATACAGACCCTTGGCTATAAAAGTTGTTGTGTGCGCTTGATCGTGATTTGATGTGATCGATCATGTGGGCGAAGTCCCAACAACTACTATAGAGTCTGGACACATGGGCCGGTTTTTCTATTGTTAGCAAAATCCATACTTATGTTCAACTTGAAGAAACTTCATCCATGTGGGCATATGGTTGAAAAGTTACAGTACCCCAAAATGAATATGAACCCTCCATTTCTCTTGATCCAACGGTGGATGTCTATTGGTACTCCAACGTGTGCATGAGAGAGTACCTACTAAAAAAAGTGAGGGAGTACCTTCTGCTTGGGGGTAAAATAGTAAACAAAATTTTATTATTATTCTCCCATCGGTACATCACGGCTGATACATATTCGACTCGATCGCTGGAACCGTAATTCTTCTCCTAAAAAAACCTAATTCTTCAATGGGATAGGCGCCGGCGGCCACTGTGGTCTGCACACGTACAAGAGACAGACGGCCTCTGGGCCACAGACTTGCTGGAATGGCATGGACTGGGAAGTGGGAATGTTCGACGACCAGGGCTGGGCGGCGGGGCCGCGGCCGCCACGACCGCCACGGGCGCGTTGGGGAGAGCCATCTTTCTCGCGCAACTGGAATTCTAGAAACTCGCCCGCGCTGAAGCAGGATGATGACTAGGGCGAGGCGGGATACTCAAGCTGGGTGGAGATCTATCACGTCAGCTCTCCATCATGAATGCCTGATATCTCTTGCAGGCTGATTAAGTGATGGACTTCTTGCGAGCCTGATCTCTTGCGTGTATTCCACAACAATGTATATCTATGTTTTAATTTCCTTTGTAGTACATGTTAGAGATTTTGTGTGGATTTCCAGAACTTGTAGTTTGATCGGTAACTGTTATCCACTCCACTCGCTCTCGATCAATGCAAGGAAGCAATGGCGCGGTCGTGATGAAGACATATAACAGCGCTAATGTGATGGCGGCTGCGCTGGTGATCTGATTAGAAATCAGAGAAGGACCTAATTAAGAGTTGAAAAGACTAAACTACCCTTATAAGTGGATGGTTAGATTTAAGTGGTACTCCATCTCTGCTAGAGGGAGTACCAGGGTACCGTAAAAAAGCTCGGTTGAAAATTCAATGAAAGTGCCTGTATAAAAATAAGGTACCTAACCTTATAAACTTTGATAAACAAATATAAATATTTTGATTTGTTGGATTGTAAAAACGCAGAAAGGAATAACATAGGATCAGAATGACATGCCTATCCGAATCCTATAAGATTCAAGTTTATTTGAATCACAGGAAAAATGAAGATTTTTTCCAAGAGGATGAGGTGGATACTAGATTTCCTATGAAATGTAGTATAAATAATTCCCTAGGAAAAATTCCTGTAGGATTCAATCATAGCAATCAAACGACCGACGTAGAAAAAATTCGTAAGGATTCAAATAGTTCAGAAACCCTATGAAATTCCTTTGAATCAAAGCAGTCCGAAAGGCACGCATAAACTTTTTCATAGTCTGTTGAAACTTAGAATTGGTTCCTTAGATCAGAGAGGCGGACACAGGCCAACATGCTGCAGCTGTTTTCCTTAGATCAGTGGTTTTAATGGCTGCTTGGCGCCCCCCGCCACTTGCTAACCATGCTGTGTCGCAAATCCCCGTGATTGTCTCCCGTGCTAACATGTACAGAATTAAGCTCGAGCACTAAGATCGTCTACCTGCAGCTAGTACTGCTATCTATACTGTGCCGCAGACGTCATGATTGACTCCCGTACCAACATGGACGGTGCAGAATTAAGCTCGAGCATTACTTCTAAGAAAAGCTTGAGCATTGCTTGCATGTCGTCGATCGAGCAACCACTCCTCGATATTCCATGATAGCTCTATTGCTACTACAGCTTTGACACCGACAAGATATTCTCAAGCCAATCCGCTATATGCTCGTATTTTCCTATCCATCCGGCCGGCTGTAGCTGTTGATCCGATGCTTTTGCAGGATAAAACTTTGGCAACTTTTTGTGGCCAGTAGTTTATTTGCGCGCCAAACATGCGGACGCGTCAGGTGCCGAGAGATGCAAGAAACACAACATGATGTCCCGTCGATGGCTCCTCGTGTTCCGCATGAAAATTTGGCCGCTTCTTCTTTTCAACTAGCGGAATCTAAATTAAGATTTCGGGGCATGTGCATTATTGGACTGGTCTAGTTAGAGCGTTGCTATTCGTGTGATATTCTTTTAGTATAAAAAACCCTAACCGCACACAGACGAAAAACCCACATCACACATAGGCTATGAGTCCGTACACATTGATTGTCACTGAGGTAGATAGATTTATAGAATTATATTTTTTAGGTAAAAATAGGACAGACGGGCACACATCACTCTTGCTATGATGTTTGGAGCCTTGTCAGCTCCGAATCTTTCTTCAAATCTAATCCTTCTGTGCAGTGGTACCGAAACCGCAGCGTCACCGCTCAGATATTTCGGCTACACGGCATAAAACATTATTTTGGAAGCACATTTGTAGCATAAATAAATACTCTCTTCGTCCCAAAATAACTGTCTTAATTAGTACTCACTCCGTCTCAAAATTATTGCCTTAAATTTGTCTAGATACTGATGTACCTAATACTAAAATGTGACTTGATACATCCGTATTTAGACAAATTTAAGATAAGAATTTTGGGACGGAGAGAGTACAAAATTATAATAAGGTTAAGACATTTATTTTGGGACAGAGAGAGTAGCATATTAGTTCTTTTTATGCATGAACAAATCCAGCAACTTTGGTTATGCCGACACTCAGCGTTGGCGAAAGCTACATGAAGAAACACCATATCTGTAACCAGATCTTTTTAAGAAATCGGCTATCTGTTTAAAGAAAACAATTTAAGTACGCAATGTAGACTCAATTTCAACAGATCATTTATTGGCAAATGCCAAAATTGCAAACAATGTCTACATAGGACCATGTTAGAAACGAGATCAACGGCAAACATCAGGGAACCCATAAATGCTGTGTTTGCTCCTCAATGCCTTCGTTGACGAAACAAAAACATGTCACATGTGGTGACAGGATAACACTAATTAGGATCGAGTGGTGTTTGTCGTGGACGTAGTTGGGAATCTAACTATATTTAGCACAGATGCAAACTGCAGTTTATCACATAGATAAGTTGTAACTTATGCATACCATGGTTAGCTATTTATGTAATTTTAAAAAGAAAAGAAAAAATAATTCAGAACCATGATATCTGACTCTAGCTATTGTGGCGTTAGTAAACGACAGAGGGTAGAGTAAAAAATGTGATATGTCGGCGAGGTTGGTCATACTGGGCGGCGGTGTTCAGTTGTCGGCGTATGAGGCTCTAGAGCCCGGCGTCTCAGGTGATAGTGGGGGATATCAGGTTGGGAGGTGGCGTGCCTCAGGGAGTCCGCTCTTGGCTGGATCTGGAGGGCCAGATTGGGTTAGTGGAGACTTACTACCTCGGCTGCTCGACATGTGACGGTGGTGCCTTGGCGTTGCGTTGCGGGAAGGTAGCCCACGACGTGGTGCTGCCTGCCGCCCGTGATCCCCATCCTTGGCGTGGAGGGTGATCCCAGTGTTGTCGGTGCTTTTACGGTGGCGGCTCCATGATCTTGTTATGGAGTCCTTGTTCCAGCAGCAGTGTCCTTCCCTCGGGTTGGGTTCGTGACCTTGGTACCTCTGTGTGACTCCAAGTGAAAGCTCCGTAGTACGGCGCTGCCGGCAATGCTTGTGGGTGTCAAGTCCCTCGTGAAGGTGTCGTCATGGTTCCCCTCCTCGTGCCAGGGCTCCCCAGTCCTTCTTTGCAGCTTCCTCGGTGGCAGAACGTTGCATCGTTATCCTCTTGGGGTAACGTGGAGCTCAGGTAACTTCATGTTGCAACATGCATCTTCGGGCATGGATCCTAAACTGAAGTTTCTTCGATTCTGGCATGGGGCAGTCTTGTTGGTCTCCTACTTTAAAACGTAACAGTTGTCATCGTTCTTAGTCCTCGCTATCCGCATGCAGGTCAGCGCTCCACGACTCAAATCGAGAGGGCGCAGTGGCACTCTCGGGTGGCTGCTTGGTTGTGCGCGGCGCGTAATAGTTTAGTGGTTCCCAAGGGGGGCGCATTTGTCGTTCCTAGTCTTTGGTCTTGTGTACTTACTGTTGGGTGTGAATTCTCAAGTTTTTTTTTTTGCTTGGCTTTGAGTTTGTGGCTTCTTCGCGCCTCTCTCAGATGTCGATTTTATTTTAACTTGCTTTTGTAAAAGAATTTTCTCATCACCTTGTATCAGCTCGGACGTTGCGGCTATAAGCGGGGCGAAAATTGTGCTGACAATATGTTGCTTATCAAGTTTTGAAGGAGGAAAGGGAATAATTTAGGTATGTGTGAAGATGAGGCGAGAGTGAACAAAGAATGAGAAAAAGTAACGGGGTAATCTAGACCTCAAATAACAGATTGTGTACGATACTTAGATGGTCTGCCAGCTTTAGCCACATGATTTAATAAGAAATTGAATTAATCTTCGGCACGTCTAAAGCTAGGCACACCATTAATTTGGGAAAAGGTGTACTCCCATCGCTGGTCTGTAACACGCGCGCACGCGCACACACACACACAATTACACAATTTAGGTGTGTGTGAAGATGAAGCAAGCACAAAGAAAAATAGAGAAAGTAACGGACTAATCTAGACCTCAAATAACAGATTGTGTATAGGGGCTGCAAGAAAAGCTCGAGGCTCATGAGCCGCTCGAGATCGACTCGTTTTTCGATTCGGCTCGAGATCAACTCGAAAAGAAACAAGCTGAGTTTAAACATTTTATGTAGCTCGACCGAGAAACGAGCCGATCTTGAGTCAATGTTGGATCGCTCGATTTTAGCTCGATAGCTCGACATAATATCATTATGTTAAATGATCATGCCATATATTAAATGGGAATAAAGATAATTTATTACCATATATGTTGTCCATAATTTATCTCCATTTTATTTACCAACATACATGAAAACTTAATTAAGTGCAAAGAAGATTTAGGCCTAATTAATTTATCTCCATTTTATTTACCAACATACATGAAAACTTAATTAAGTGCAAAGAAGATTTAGGCCTAATTATGGCACATGGTCGACTATGTGTTCAATATCCTATATTTTTGGCAAAGGTTTCCAACATATTCATCTTATTTTTTTTCATCAATAGATTTATAATTTTTACCATCTCATTTAGCTCGAAACTAGCTCGAGATCGTTACAAGCTGAGCACGAGTCATATTCTACAGCTCGATCATGAGCTTCACTCAGTTTGAGCTCGCTCGAATTTTCATATGAGTTGAGCTGAGCCAACTCCAACTCGCTCGAGCTCGACTCGTTTGCAGCCCTAATTGTGTACAATACGTAGATGGTCTGCCGGTTTTAGCCACATGAATTAAGAAAATAAATTAATCCTTGGCACTTACGGCTAAAGCTAGGCACACCATTAATGTGGGAAAAGGTTTAAGTCCCATCGCTGCTATGTAACACGCACACACGCAATAGCACCTTATCTTCTTCCCTATTTTTTGCGAGGAACAATAGCATCTTAGTTTTAGCAAAACAGTAGCGGCACTGCATATTATTGGATAGAGTTTTTCCTTACATATGCCACCAAAGTGACGCCATGGTCCATCTCCATAGTGTTGTTGTTCGATGGCTTTATAATTAACGATGATCATCACCACCACACTGCCTTTTACTGCACGTACATAATGACCATTCCTTTCCTAGAAAAATGGAAATATATCGTCATCAACTAATGAGAATTGCTACTACCAGTTGGCACGGTAGCGCCGTGTGCGTCCTATATAACTCCTCGCAGTTCTTCCCTTTAAGCAAACTCATCTCAGTAGATCGTTCGCCACTTGTACGAGTACGTACTCGGACGTGATGGCTAACTCGGGCGCCTTGATCCTTCTCATCTCATTGGTCCTGCTAGCCGGGGCTGCCTACATCCGCCGTGAGCCAGGCCACGCGGACGGAAGCTTCGCCGACACACACCTCCACTTCTTCATGCACGACGCTTACGACGGCCCGCGCCCCACGGCCGCGCTCATCGTCACCGGAAGGGAGCCGCTCCCACTACCGTCTGACGACAGCGCCACCGGCGGGCAGGCAACCTCCTCCTCCCCGCGGAGGTTCGGCGACATCGCCGTGATGAACAACGCGCTCACGGAGGGGCCCGAGCGCGGCAGCGTACGAGTCGGCACGGCGCAGGGGTTCACCGTGCGCGTCGCCGAGCACGGCGCCGTGAACGACCTGAGCCTGCACCTCGTGCTCGAGGCCGGCGAGTACGGGGGAAGCTCGCTGGCGGTGAAGGGCAGGGTGGACACGGGCGCCGCGGTGCGCGAGTCCATAATCGTCGGCGGCACCGGCCGCTTCCGCTTCGCGACGGGCTACGCGCTGAGCAGGAGCTACGACTACGACGTCGCCAACGGAGGAGTCGTGGAGATCGATGTGTACGTGCAGCTTCGACTAGTTTAATTATATGCTGCATGCATGTCTGGCCGGCGTATGCGTCGAGTGAGCATACTGAATTTTAACCGGTGACATCCAGGGGACAAAATGAAATAAAGAGATAATTGCGTGAACAACCTCACAATTTCAAGTATGTGTGCTTTAGACACATGTGTTGCAAAAATATGCACCTTTATGGTCTTTGATTTTTTTATTTTCGAGAAAATATCCAAAGTGTTGATATGTATCTTATACCCGATATTTATCAAGGAAAACAAGAGTTGATACAAAGGAATGACAACTCATCACAAAACGACTTGTAGAGAGTAAAGTTACCTCGAAAATCATATTTGTCGTCTTCCTCCTATTGTTATCCGCCTACCAGAGCATGAAACTTATCGAACAGAGCATGAAACTTACTGAACAAGTAGCAAGGAAAGGGACATCTGCTACACTCCCACCATACAAGACTTTGAAGACGCTATAGCCACTCACTGCGAATAAAGAGATCTGGTAACCGCTGAACGAACATCAGGTGGACAAGCACCCCAAGCAGCACACGCTTGCAATTCTTCACCATCAATCCAAAGGGTTGGAGAAACCGAATATTGCCGCTGAACAAAACAAGAAAAGAATTCGAAATCACAGCACCAAAATCCAGCCAACTACTTCTCCTGATGGGCACACCAACTACCAAGATTCAGATAGAGCCAATAAATCTAGCAGCACTTACCCTCACTTGCCCTTTGGCAAGGGCGGATCAAACACCATTGATGTAGGAAGAAACCGAAGAGACTTTAGTCCAACATGCCATCGTCGCCACCATCTAATTGATGCCACCGCAGGAACAAAGAACAAAGTTTAAGAGAAACACGTGGACATGCAAGGACTAAAATCTACGGAAAAGCAGGTACCAACTCCCCTGACTATTAACGAGGCTGCCAGACATGAGATAAGAGGGGGGCCAAGGCGGTGGTGCGGAGGGAACCCTGTGGTCTCCGATGTTGATGGAGCTTGCACTCGCAATTCGCAAACATGTGGTGCCATGGATGACACTAGCCCACCGCATTATCCACCATCTTTTTTCATCGAACAACTATCTTGGTTAAATGAAGTTATACACATGCCAGAAGATAACAGAACATAACAGTTTTAGCTTGTAGGAGCATATACAACCATGGCACATGCATACACCCATAAAACTCACACCAAGTGACTTCAACACTTTATTGAAACTAGTTACATACACAGGTCCTGATGTGGCCAAGCCGGCATATCACTTTAGCTAGTTATGTTCCCTTAGATTGTTGGTCACAAACTTAGGCATTGCCCTTATTTACTGATAGCACACAATCAATATCAAACTCACGACATTAAACATAGCCCACATTATCGAGGCACTTGGCACACATTCTTAAGGATAGACCTCGATGACACCTCGAGGTCCCAGTTTCTTGAAGATTTTATAGTCGCTAAATCCTGCTTTTGTAAAGATTGTGCTCCAGTCATTTTCATCTCGTTGACGTCCTCTTGTACATACTAACATGAGCATATCCACCAACAGTTGGGTTTCTAACATTTCTTTGGATGATGAGCCGACTACTATATCTATGACAATAACCTTTCCCCCCATTTCGCGGGACGGAATGGCCTTCTTGCATTGAGCCAGGATATTGATGCAATCTTCGTCGTTCCAGAAGTGCAGAACAAGCTAGCATGAAAAAACTTACATATGGTCAAGCAATTATTAACAATTTTGGACATTAAATGTATTTGTGCATACATCTTAATTAGTAGCTATTACATAGTTGAATGGAGTTACTCTCAAAATAATGAGAAAATGAGACTAGTCCTACCGTTAGTTCCCCAAGAGTGAAAATTTGTTTTGGAAAAGTTTATAAAGACAACACCTCATACCTTAAGCATCACAGCTTGAGCAGGTGGAATGGTATGGAATAGGTCACCAGCGACATAGTTAATGATACCATCACTCGGGACTTTCTCAATCACCTTCGGAAGGTCCAACACATTGCACTTGATATGCGGGAAGGCCTTGACAATAGCCCTAGCCGTCGTTCCATCACCACCACAACAATTGGTGAGTGACTGCACCCCCTTGAATAAGTCATGGCATTCCCGCAATATGGTGCTGATCCCCAAATGGTCATGGGCAGCCAGAGCTTCATGGAACACCTTGTCTGACTCTGGGTCGAGGAGCGCCATACTCTCCTCGAAGAGTGTGGCACCGTGCACATCCTCAAATGGTGATGGCGATGGTGCGATGTCCTTCTTGAACCAGTCAGCTAGCCCCAAGGCCGCCTCTATGTAATGTCTTGAGGTTGTGGCAAGCACAATGGCCTTCTGGCTAGCCTCACCATCAATGAATACACCATCCACCAGGAGATATGATAGCGGGACGAGGGAGTAGGTCCCCTCCTTAGGGGATGCTAAGGCGCCTGATGTGGCCAGCAACCGCAAGACACGGCCAAGGTATGGTGTCTTAGATGGTGGGAGGGACAGTGCGGTGACAAGCTCGGGCAACGATGTTGTGCCGCCGAGTCGGTGTATCGCAGTAGGGATACCGAGCTGGACAGCGCACCTGAGTGCTATGGCCGTGAGGTGGCACAGGCTGTGCCGCCATAAGTCAGCCTGCGCCTGAATCAGCTGGGCGTCGGTGGGGACTGCCATCGTTGGGGCATGAGCTGCCATTGCGTTGTAGTATCTCTCTTGTTGTGGTGTTGTGTGTTTGTTAACTGACTGTGCCAAGCACCAATATATATACACACACCATGCATTTACTATGTTTAGGTAGTACATCTCTACTAGCAACCAACTGCATTAAAAACACGTGGTGTGCCTATTTTGACGCTATCGATTGGGTCATATGTCTTGTTGTTTTAATTAGAAGATCTATCCATAAGTCTTCATTTGGAAATCTTGCTCAAACCCTTGAAGGACCGTATCCAAGATGTCCCATCTTGCATTTACTGTGATTATTTCTTAGGGAATCCTTCAAAATAAAAATCTGAGGTATCATTCAAATTGGAATTGTTTTGTTATTTGAGTTAAATTTATTTTGAATATAGCTTTCTTTATAAAACTGAAAAATAAAAGAAAATTATGGTACATATATAACTCTTAATTATGTATCATATACAATATGATTATTCTTGTTGTTTAGTTGGCTTTGTAGTTTTAAATTCTCAAATTGAATCAATTAAGAACCAATTTGAACTCATATAATCGAAAAATATGGAAACAGTAACCCGTTCCTTATTGGTAAACCCATTTGGCCCACTACCGCCAAAACATATGGCATAGTTTTAAATAGTGCACTATTTCAACGCTACACTGTCGCTATAGCATTTGGACGGACCTCGTGCTACACGTGTCATGTACAATTTAGCGTTATGTAGCGCGCTATAGTGTTAATTTAGCACCAAACCTAGGCTGTCGTAGCCCGTTATTTAAACCTATGACATATGATGAGAAATTATGTTAGTCTAGTTAACCTTCTTATACCGACAGTAAAGACTCCAGCATAGAATGTTGTGAGCGTATGACCATAATTATATGACCAACTCTATATCCTTTCTATACGCGCAGTGTCTATTCTTTTATCGTAATTTCATCTGACCATCTGCACTTGATGGTCTTCTCCATGTATGTAGATTCGATACCAAGAGCTCTCGCTGTTATGCATGTGTTTGTTACTTTGAGGGAAATTAAGCATTGCAGTTCTATTGGTTGGGACGTTGAGTGGAACACAAACGCCCTAGCTGTCATAACAGAAATCCACAGACATCATCATAAACAGTAGGCAGTATAGACGACCCAAAAACATTAATGCTCGGACAGAGAGTTACTACCTACAACAAAAATGTTTGATGAAGTTCTTTTTTTAGAAAAGGAGGATGATCCCCGACCTCTCCATCTAGACGATGCATGCAACCATTTTATTATTATTCACAAAAATCTTAGAAAGTAATACATCAGGTAGTCTGAAGTCATCATCTTAGAAACATTGTCACTACTCCTATTCACCTTATGAATGGGTGCCGATAGTCCGAGCCTAATACCAAACAAACATCACACCGTGCATTTACTATTTTTAGGTGGTGCGTCTCTAGCAACCAACTGCATTGAAAACACGCGTGGTGTGCCCATTTTGACGCTATCGATTGGGTTATCAGTCTTGTCGTTTTAATTAGGAGCTCTATCCATATGTCTCAATTTGGAAATCCTGCTCAAACTGCTTCAAGACCATATCCAAGATGTCCCATCTTGCATTTACTGCAATTATTTCTTATGGATTTCCTAAAAAAACTTAGGTACCATTCAAATTGGAATAGTTTTGTTACTTGAGTTAAGTCTATTTTGGAATCTAGTTTTTTCTTTGTAAAACTGGAAAAAAAATGCACATCTATAACTCTTATGTATCATATATAATATGATTATTCTTGGAGAGGGGCGATTTGACTCCCATGCTCATCTAAACCCGCCATGAACAGTAAAATCAAAACAAATACTACAAAAATTCAAAACATTCTGAATTATTATTTTTTGCATGGTAGATGTTTCAGTGCGTGAGGTTCGTGCGTAGGCATTGGATCAACAATGAGTATTTGTGTTGGATGATATTCACCATGTAACAGTCACAACCTAAAGCGATACACAATAGTTCCAATTCATCAATGTATACATGTATTCTGTATATAGTCATACATGTCTATAATAAAACCTTTCATGACATCTTATGTCCTATCCTAACAATGTATACCATCGTGGAGTTTTCACTTAGTCGACGTCAATAGGCCCAGAAGCAACATTCGTAAAATTGCTGTCGTGTGAATATAAGTTGAATAGATAAGTTAATCAATAACAATATATGTATACCATCGTGGAGTTTTCACTTAGTCGACATCAATAGGCCCAGAAGCAACATTCGTAACAACATTCGGATATAAATTGCTATCATACGAATATAAGTTGAATAGATAAGTTAATCCATAACAACATTCGTAAGGAATCTACAATTACACGACCTCTCCAAAACTTCATAAGAAATCTTGATTACCATGAAGTGGCTGTGAAAAAAGTTTTAAAAAGACAAAAAGGTTGGCGATGTAGCGCCAAGCGACCTAAGTTTAAATCACGCATATATTGGCGAGCGCATGCGCTATATAGGTTTGTGTCCATAGCACAACTCCCTCCTCTCTATGTGGTTCTAGCATTTTTAAGTCTATGGAAGGACCCCTTATAAGTTGGTCACCTACCCCTTGGCTGAGTGGGGTGGGACTAAAAAATTACCCGGCCTTTGCAGGTACAACATGCAGGTGGTGGGACAAGATACAAAGGAATTTTGCTGGTGGTGGGCCAAGATACAAAGGAAATAACATATGGGCTTCAGGCAAGCCGGCTAGTGATACAACCATCTTGACGTATGGTATTTAGGCAAGCTGGTGTTGTATTGAAAGTAACTCGCATATGCAGAACCTTCCTGGAAAAGATACAATGTGTATGTTTCTTTTTTTAGGTACATTTTGAGCATGCAAAGGTTATGAATTGATGAAAAAGATTTTATTGGTTATTTTTGGCAAACACCCCAAAAAATGCACATGTGTTTTTGGCAAAATCACAATAGTAGTACTGTATTTGAACCCTTTTTTCTTCTCCTCCGTTCTCTTTTTGCTGTTGTTTGTCTGAGCAGTCAGCCAGTTCGTTCTTTCTTTTGACATTTTGGCTACTTTGAACCAAATGGCAGCAAGCTATTCATATGCATGGGTCAGACATGGATGAATTAGGGAAGTGACATTGATGACATATCTATATCTATATCTATACCTACTAATAAAACAAGGTGTGTTTTTCCAATTTTTTCATCCGTTCACCATCAAAAAAAAATTCTGCTATTCAAGGTGGTACTAAATTTCTGTCCGTTCGTGTATTACAAAAGGAAAAACGCCACAATTCCGTCCACGGGCCGCCTGCAATGTGGCCCAGCAAAGCCAAACTATTTATTTTCGTGCCCATCCGAAAAACCCTATTTATCGCATGGGGCGTCAAATAGTCCCAGTGTCATAGGGCGCCCAACCTGGGCTGAACCGTTTTTTATTCTTATTATGTTTCTATTTTTTTTCGTTTCTTTCTCTGTTTCTTTCCTGTTTCTTTTGTATTTTTTCCTTTCAAGTTTTTCTTATTTCTCCATTTTTTCCTTAAATTCATAATTTTCAAAGGAGTTCGTAATTTCGGAAAAAATGATTTTTAAAAAAAATGTTCAGAATTCCAAAACATATCCTGTTTTATAAAAATGTTCAGAAATTTATATATTTTTTCTCATTCTAAAATTTGTCCAAATTTTAAAAAATGGAATGTGTTTTTAAAAATTGTTTGAGATTTTCCAAAAAAATGCGTTTTAAAAATGTGTGCAAATATGAAAAATATTCTTGTTTTAGTGAAATATTCGCAAATTCTAAATAATTTATGAGTTCAAAGAAACCCATTTCTAAAATTGTTCTGAATGTTCAAAATATGTTTCCTTTAAAAAACACAAATTCAAAAAATGTTCATGTTTTTATGAAAGATTCATGCGGAGATCTTTTTTGGTGGACATGTCAATTATCTCTCCCGTTGCTTTTTGCAAAGAAATGTCTCTCCCGTTACAACGCACGGGCATCCGTGCTAGTGCTTCCTCGCATAATTAACAAGCTAGTTAGGAGTAACCTCCCCTCAGCATACACTGACTACTCCCTCTTTATCAAAATAACTAATCAACGGTTGGATCTCATCCCACATCTACTGATTGTTGCCTCGCTTCTCCAAGATGATCCACACCTCATTCTGGATCAGAGTCAAGATCATCTAGAAAAAATGTCCCCTTACAAATAAGATCAGCTACACTTGGCATTTGAAGCTCTGTACATACATGGCAAATATCAAATAAAATCTGTTGTTTTTCAAAGGCTAAAGAAGCCAAGTCTAGCATACACAAAAAATCATCACGATCCAGTATATAAATCTATATCAATCAAGAATGATAAACAAGGAGAAAAGGACATGAATCATGATCAATTTCAAAGCTAGTTCAATATCCAACACTTCGGCAGCCAACAAACAAAGCACAAGCACTCGCCACCAATAGTTCAATGGGTTTTTATCATTTATGCCACTAGTTGTGTCTCACTACTCTATTTTGCCATTAGAAGTTACAACTACTCAAAAATACCATCGATCCGTGAGATGCTTGCTCAAAAATGCTATTAGATATATAAAAAATTCCAATGAAAAAAAATTCCATCGTTTCGTTAGATGTTTGCCCAAAATGCCATTAGATATTGTTATTTTCACATCAAACCTGTTGACCATGTTATATGACAAAAATAAGCCTAGCGCACATGTCAGTTCTCTCTGTCTCACAATGATAAATGTGGCCCCACTTGTTAGTAGTAACCAAGCGAACAATTTTACAAGAAAATAAGAACGCTATTAGGATCAAGTAGGCCCCACACTTTATTATAGTGAAATAAAGGGATAGCTGACATATCGGTCCATAGGTATTTATATCATTATAACATTGCAAAAGAGATTTGAAATCACAATAATGGTGTCCAGTGGCATTTTTGAGCATGTGTCTAACAAAGCAATGGCATTTTTGAGCGGTTGAAATTCCTATTGGCAAAACCGAGTAGTGGGACACAACCGGTGGCATAAATGATAAAAACCCTTCAATGGCCAACCCAATTACAAACCAGGCATATCAATTACCCCCGCCGATCCAAAAAAAAAGTATCTTGGTTGAAGCCACGACACTTTTTTTT